TGAAAACAAAAGTGAAGTAGTCCGTAGAACTTGAATGTCAGAGAACACTGCAAATATTGAAAGTGGAATATTAGTAATGAGAGTAAGATACATGGGTTAAATTTCCAAATATATTCAGAATTCAGATCTTGATGTTACTTTAAATCATTTTTAAATATTTTATCTTCAGAGCTATTTGTGATCTTAAGAAAGAACCCCAAGATTTGTGAATATTGCCCTCACCGTAAAGTGGAGAATGGGGTGAAGACATGGCAGAGCTAATACTGTTACAGCTATAGATGGTTGATTTAGTACATGCAAGTGTTCACTGTAAAATGAACAAGCTTGCTAATTTTTTAGAGGAAAAAAATTCAAGAAATGTTAAAAATGAAAGCATTATGTAATATACATTTTAGGGAGTGTGAAACTAAATAGCACAATTATCTGAAGAGGTGCCATATATTATTAAGGGCCAGATAGTAGTCAATAGCATTACCTTGGATCATCACTTGTTATAAAGCTTTCTTTAATAGTATCTATCAGCTTGGGTTTAAGACAGGGTCAGGCATTGTCATGCAGCTATGTTAAAAATAATCTTGCAAAGAAATTTATAATGTATACATAAAAATGGCTGAAGTAAATAGACTCTGCAAACTTAGCTGAGTGCAAGGAAGCCAAGACAGATAGGTTCCTATGGATACAAAAAAAAAAAAAAAAGAAACAAGTAGAGAAGGAAGAGCATCAGTTCCAGTGAGACTTGAGATATTTGCATTAGGAATAATCACCAAGGAATCTGAATTAGTAGGAGCTGTCCTCACAGAACATAGTTTTCAACTCATATTCTGAATGGCATAAGATTGTCAATTTAAACATTATATTATGAGGTCAAAGAATGGGATAGAAAAGAGAGTGTAAAGAGTAAATAAAGATATTAAACTAAGAAGCTGGATGCTTAAAGTTTCAATATCTAGTGGAGAAATACGTTGCCATTTATATCACCCTCACTAGTTCTAGGCATAATACAATAAATAAAGCTTTTTTTTTATTACATCAACTTTTCTGGACTAACCTTCTTTCATTCTCATTCTGAATGCTCACTCAATCCCTTTCCCTGCCCACATTGAAAAATCTATTTTATGATTTGAAATATTTGCATTTATATTTATTTTTATATCTAAGATTTAAGAAATGCTTATACTCATAGTTAGATGCCTCCTTTTTCCCCAAGTAGCTAATTTAAGATATCTCTATTAAAGCATATTCAAGGAAGTAGTTGACCTTTTAGTAAAACATCTAAAACACACTTTGGCCTGTAGGTTCCCCTGCTTTTCTTTGATCTTTCACCGACAGATTTTCTCACTTATCCCTCTTTATTAGGAAAAATGGAAGACAAAAATAATAGGTGGATAAGTAGAAACTATTCAAAAAATGTCAGCAAATCTAGTTTTTTTACCGACCAGGAACACAGAGAAGGAGTACGTCTCCTGTAGAGGATAGGGTTATTGGATAAGGGAGAGGATTCATGGAGGTCAGTTAAGAATAGGCAGTAAATCCAAACAGATAGAGTTAAGGAGGTTTCATCAATCAGCATGTATAAAGTAAATGGAAGATGATTTGCTAGCACAATAAAGACTATAGGATGTCAGAGGAAGATTTGTTATTTTAGTTACAAAAATGTCACAGAGAAATAGGACCTGAGTGCTACATGGAAGGAAAGCTCCACTGAGTGGGTTTTGTGTGTCGGGAATGGCATGTACCATGATTATATCTTGGTATATGCTGCGTTATTTTTTATTTTCACTGATTGATACATTACAGAAGGTGAAAGATTAAAAACTTCTCCATCATAGTATATGAATCTACATTTTGAAATTGTTCATATATTTCAGAATTTTGTGAGTATCTTCTCAAGTTATTATATTATTTTTACGTGAATTTTGCTTACTTTGTGCCAGAATATGATCTTTTACCAAAATCTACCTTACCTTTATATTTTATAAAAAACACTAATTTAAAAATATATTTGGAAAATTTACAGGTATTATTTTGGTTTTATACCTTTAATTTCATGTAGGTCAGGTCATTGATGATTAATCATAATAAAATAAGATTAGGAAAGTATTATGATGATAAAGAACTTATCTGATGTTTCCTAGGTAGTTAAACCAAGAATAAGTACTAAAATCCTAAATCATTTGAAATTAATGTGGACATCTTCAGGATTAGAGTCATTTTTTTCCTACACGGAGTTATTCTTTTTTTTTTTAAACAGTTACTCCTCACTATTGGAAGTATCTCTGAGCCCCAAACCCCAAAGACTTTAGCTCAAGTTCTAGAGCTGTCATTTAGTAGTTTTCTAAGGTTAAATTAGTTATTTTCTCAGAGGCCCATTTTCTTTATTTATAAAAAATCAACAGTGATGATTTTTATAACAGTGATGATATTTATAAAAAATCAACAGCAGCCATCATGGAAGTGAAAAGCACAACCATCATACTTCACAATATATTAAAATAAGACATAAAACATCTAAGAAAATTGATATTCATATCTACACAAAATGCATGCTTTCTCTGGAGGCAAATAACTGGTAATCATGGGACTTGTTAGTGAGCAAAACATAACAAAACTGAAAGCTGGTTATAGAATTTTCTCAGTGTAACATATTTGTCTACAACAAATAGGATCATTTACCACTTTGACCAGATACATTATTTTATTCAGTTTATCTCTTCAGGTATGCAGATAGTTGATAAAAAACAAATCCACTATTTGGGTGAACTTAAATAATCTGTCTCTCTCAATATGTATTTATATATATATATATATATACACACACACACACACACACACACATATACATAAATACATGTACATATATATTTTTTCATTTCCACAGTTATCTGAGGACTTGACAATAATACTTGACACTTTCATATAAAAAAATGTGGGTAATTTTAAAATAGGAAATCCCTAGTTAAATTAATGGAGAGCCATAAAATATTAACAAAGTACACTTGAAAGAAAGGTCCAAACATGAAGTGCTAAATTTAGTACCTGGAAAGGGTTATAAAATGTTAGAAGTTTCAATATAAATATTTAGATATAAGACCACACTTAGGAACCAGATTCAGAGATCACCTAGTTCATAAATTCCAATTATAGAGCACAGATATAGCTTCTAGAGCATTATAGTACATTTCAGAACATCTTGATTTCTGAAGGCAGACTACTAATGTGTTTTGAGGAAAGAGGAAATAAAGGAAAAAATGTACATAGTAGCCTTTAGTTGCAAATAAGACAATAATATGAATGCATAGCTTGACATTAATAACAAGAACTAGACATCATTCAAGATTGAAATTTGGGTCAACTGAAAAATGCCCAAGGTATGGTTTTTCCCTTATCCAGCCAGGCTATTTCTATAAACACTCAGCATATGTCCCTAAGTTGCTTATAAATGATGACCATAAGATATAGTTAGTATATTCCAAACTGTAAGAGAATAAGGAGTTTCCAAGAGCATGGGGAAAAAATCTGTCTGTGAAAATTGAAGCCATCTCTGCAGCTGCTAAGTTGCTTCAGTCGTGTCCGACTCTGTGCGACCCCATAGAAGGCAGTCCACCAGGCTCCTCTGTCCATGGGTTTCTCTAGGCAAGAATACTAGAGTGGGTTGTCATTTCCTTCTCCAAAGCATGCATGCATGCTAAGGAAGTGATCTCTAATCTGATAGAATTGTTACTCTTTCAGCCTTGATTACCATACAGAGTAATAATTCTACATGGGTAATCTGTAAACCATAGATTCATAAAATTGTCATTATTTTCTATCTCCCTTGTCCTAGAAAACTAGGCTTCTTCTGACTGTACCTCTTGGCATCTTTCTGTCAAAATATCATTGTGACATCTGTGAAAATCAATGTGAGAACTAGAAATGAAATAAAATGTAATGAACAAACAGATTTGCAGAGACATAACAAAAGATTAAAATAAATAGTAGCACCAGAATATATGAAGACAGAACAATGTTTTTTATTGGGCCTTCAGAATTTGGTGTTTGGTAATGGAAGAAGAAATTTTTTCACTGGAGCATTTTTCACTCTGATTTGAGTCACTAATCTTGATACTAACCTATATGATGTACTGTGAATTATGCAAACTTTGTTTCTCTGGTTATTTTTGTTGGTTCTATGAAAATAACAGGGATACTTACAGTCTTGCAGAAGAAAAATGAACAGAAAAATTAACATAGTATTTCCAAAAAATTGACTTTTGGAACATATTCTGCTTGACAATTATGAGTTAAAAATACAAAGATGCTAGTTATTAGTTTTATTATGATTTATGGCACAATTAACTGGCTATTAGAAATCTGGATCATTGGAATCCTGTGATACATGGCATCTGTCTTTAGGCTTTGTAAAAATTGGAATTTCACTCCAAATGTTATTGTGGCAAAAGATATAAAATGACAGAAGTCCTCATGTGTCTATCTAGTATGTTCCGTGACCGACCTATCCTTGCTCTTAGCTCAAGAGTGTTAAGCCAGATGGCAAGTGCTCTCACAGTTTTTTAAGTACTTGATCTGTGTCCACCAAATGTGCAGCTTTGGTTTCCAGGATTCCCTTTAGCAATAGATTGATAATTCCCTCCACAGATTTCCTTATAACATGGATGCCCTAGTGGCTTTTCATAGTCTGACCTGTGTCTACTTAAGTTTTCATTTTGATGATTAATACATCTACATTTTTCATCTTAATTTCACCGGGTATCCCATCAGTTTACGCAGCAGACTTATTGGAGGACTTATGAGTCCCCTAGCTGCTGCCCCTTGTTGTGGGCATCGGAATTCCTTCTTGAGTTCCTAAATGGCTGCCACTCACTGCAGAGTCTTGTTATGGCTACTTTGAAAATTCTCTGGGGCCCCAGCACCTTTCTGGGAACAATTTCTTTTAAACAACATTTGCTTGGATCGGAGAGCTGCACACAAAGGAGTGAAAGTCAAATCCAACAGTGACTTACCCAGAAAACAGTGAACTGAAAGGGTTCAGAAGGCACCTTGGCTGTGAGCATGCTCCTGCAGGCCATTAGCAGTTATCTTTGAATCCCATCTTCTTGACCAAAAGCTGTTAAGGAATAATTAATAAAGACAATTTAGTTAAATAAAACTTTATTAAATACTTCCTAAACAGTACTGCAAGTTAAGGCAGAAGACTTCCCATAGAATAAAGTGTATAGAAAAAGGAAGGGAGAAATAGAAAATATCTGATGGGTTCGGACTACATAATTAGCCTTGTTTAAGGTAAGAAACAAGGTTTCTTGGTGTTTGGAGGTTGACTGACTGAATATACTGTGTTTCTGGTCTAGCAGAGCATTTATTGAAACACAGAAGTTTGGTTTGCTGACATAGGATCCTGGGCAAGAGAAATTTATTTCAACACTAGTAAGTACATTTCATTTGAGAAAAAGTTTTCCATAGGGCATTTACTCTATGTGGAATCAAGCAGGTTATTCTTATGATGTATCCTAGAATTCCAGCCAAGGCTTTGCAACAATGTCAGGTCAATCCCTGCTACCAAAGCTAGTTACTTGATTAGATTGTTGGAAAGGTGAGTCTGGGATTGTAGTGTTTATGCATATATGGCTCAGTATATCCTGGCTGACATGGAACAACACTGGTTCCAGATCAGGAAAGGAGAAGGTCAAGGCTGCATATTGTAACCTTCCTTATTTAACTTATATGTAGAGTACATCACATGAAATGAGGGGCTGGATGAAGCACAAGCTGGAATCAAGATTGCGGATAAAAATATCCATAACCTCAGATATGCAGATGACAACACCCTTATTGCACAAAGCGAAGAAGAACTAAACAGACTTTTAATGAAAGTACAGCAGTCAGGCCTCCCTATCCACCACCAACTTCTGGAGTTTACTCAAACTCATGTCCATTGCGTCAATGATGCCATCCATCCATCTCATCCTCTGTCACCCCCTTCTCCTCCTGCCTTCAATCTTTCCCAGCATTAGGGTCTTTTCAAATGAGTCAGTTCTTCACATCAGGTGGCCAAAGTATTGGAGTTTCAGCTTCAGCATCACTCCTTCCAATGAATATTCTGGACCGATTTCCTTTAGGATGGACTGGCTGGATCTCCTTGCAATCCAAGGGATTCTCAAGAGTCTTCTCCAACACCACAGTTCAAAAGTATTAATTCTTCAGTGCTCAGTTTTCTTTATAGTTTGACCCCAGATAAATAGCAGAGGGAACACAGCCCAACCCATCAACAGAAAATTGGATTCAAGATGTACTGAGCATGACCTCAGCCATCAAGACCCAGTTTCCCCCTCAGTCTGTCTCTCTCATCAAGAAGCTTCCATAAACCTCTTATCCTTCTCAATCCAGGGCAGACAGACTGAACCACAATCACAAAAAACTAAGCAGTCTGGTCACATGGAACACAGCTTTGTCTAATTCAGGGAAATGATGAGTCATGCTGTGTAGGGCCACCAAAGACAAGACAGGTCATGGTGACAAAACATGGTCCACTGGAGAAGGGAATGGCAAACCACTTTAGTATTCTTTCCTTGAGAACCCCATGAACAGTATGAAAAGGCAAGAAGATAAAACACTGAAAGATGAACTCCCCAGGTTGGTAGGTGGCCAATATGCTACAGGAGATCAGTGGAGAAATAACTCCAGAAAGAATTAAGAGATGGAGACAAAGCAACAACACCACCCAGGGGTGGATGGGACTGGTGATAGAAGCAAGGTCTGATAATGTAAAGAGCAATATTGCATAGGAACCTGGAATGTTAGGTCCATGAATCAAGGCAAATTGGAAGTGGTCAAACAGGAGACTGTGAGAGTAAACATCAATATTTTAGGAATCAGCAAACTAAAATGGAATGGAATGGGTGAATTTAACTCATATGACCATTATATCTACTACTGTGGGCAAGAATCCCTTAGAAGAAATGGAGTAGCCATCATAGTCAACAAAAGAGTCTGAAATACAGTACTTGGATGCAATCTCAAAAACAAAAAAATGATCTCTGTTCATTTCCAAGGCAAATCATTAGATATCACAGTAATCCAAGTCTATGCCCAAACCAGTAATGCTGAAGAAGCTGAAGTTGAACAGTTCTATGAAGACCTACAAGGTCTTCTAGAACTAATACCCAAAAACATGTCCTTTTCATTACAGTGGATGGAATGCAAAAGTAGAAGTCGAGAAATGCCTGGAGTAACAGGCAAATTTGGCCTTGAAGTACAGAATGAAGCAGGGCAAAGGCTAATAGAGTTTAGCCAAGAGAATGCACTGATCACAGCAAACACCCTCTTCAAACAACACAAGAGAAGACTCTACACATGGACATCACCAGATGGTCAATACTGAAATCAGACTGTTTATATTCTGTGCAGTCAAACATGGAGAAGCTCTATATAGTCAACAAAAACAAGACTGGGAATTGACTGTGTGTGGCTGAGATCATGAACTCCTTATTTCAAAATTCGGACTTAAATTGAATAAAGTAGGAAAAACCACTAGACCATTCAGGTATGACCTAAATCAAATCCCTTATGATTATACAGTGGAAGTGACAAATAGATTCAAGGGATTAGATCTGATAAACAGAGTACCTGATGAACTATGGACAGAAGTTCCTGACATTTTACAGGAAGAAGGGATCAAAACCATCCCCAAGGAAAAGAAATGCTAATTATATATATATATATATATATATATATATATATATATTAGGAGTTTGTAATATGTATAAGATATTCTGCAAAATAAAGTAACTATAAAATGATCATTTGGTCATATATTATTTCATTTATTTCTAATCTGCTTTCATTTTTGTCCATCCCATCTACATTATTACAAAAGTGTTACGTTAAAAGATGGTTTGCATCTCCATATTACTTGGGAAGTGATTTCATTGCATGTTTTATTGTATTTAAAAAGCAGTTGAAAAACATTTAGTCACTTATAAGTACTTAAGATTATGTTCGAATTGACCCCAAAATAACTAGGTCCTTTCCTAAGTGAGCCATCTTCCTTTGTGATTACTTCTCATAATGATTTTGTCTAAATTATTCAAGTTTACCCTGTTTCTTCAACTATGTTTTTATTTATATGGCTGCATCATGACCCGACAAATCGGAGACCAGTCTTCTGGGTTACTGGTTAGTTCAGATAGCCTGATGTGGTATGATGGATTTTCTGAGAATCTAATGTCTTGGCATTTGACTGTGGTATAGATCAGAAGAATCTACTGAGGCCTTACATCATCAAGGAAAGTCTCTATTTCTTAAGAAAATTACCTCTGCTGTACTGTAATCTGAATAAAGTTATTGGACAGTGGATGGCAGAGATTGTTGGTTGTGTCTGAGAATGGTTTATAGACTGAACTATATGAGTTTAGCTCATAAAAGTGCAAATCCTAAGGAACAATTCACATGAACTTTGCAGAAACATGAAACATTGCCGTTAGAGACATACACTGCTCATTATTTGGCTTTATAGATAGGATGAGAGTAATTTCATGCTCCTTCCTATTGCAACTTTGTAAGCATTATAGGGTTATTTATTTATTAGGTTATTTCTGTTTGAAGTCATTATGCACTCAATTTACAGTAAAGAAAAATTTTTTAGGCTATTTAAGGTTTGCCTTTGTCAAATGAGTTTTACTCCTATTTCTAATACTTTGAACAAAATACTAATACTAGTTTGATGAACATGGGGACAGTGTTAGTACTTTCTATATGGAAGACCAACAACATGTTTTACAAAATTTTTAGTAAAATATGTCAAACTAGAATTTTATATAAAATAATAATCATATTTTCAAAAGTCATGAGCTACTCTTTCAAAGAAGGAGACATTATGTAGATAGACTTATGTGTCAAACGATGACAAAGTTCCAAACCACAAAATATTATAATTGAAAATATTCACTAGTAAAACTGACAACTTTTGATCAGATACAGAGTGTATAAACACTTATTTCAAATCTGAATTGTGTATCATTGGTTAAAATACCAAGATCCAAGACAAATTCAGAAGAAAAAGGACATGAAGAAAATGAAATCTATTTTGCATAGATTTACTTGCTCTAGTAACTACCAAAAACTCAATTTTGTGACCTGCATTGGACAAAAAGGAATCATTTGGATTTAGAGATACAACTAAAGATAAATCTTATTCCAATAAACTTTCTAGTGCATTTCCCACAAGATCATTGCTGGATTTTGTAAAGGATATTTTATGAGGATTTCAAAATGTTAAAGATTTCCAGAGTCCTTGCTGATGAAAGTAATGATATATTTTGAAACAATCTGAAAACTGGTTATCCTTTTATCAGTTTGATTCATTTTGCTTCTTTGCTTGATAGTCTCCAATGTCCTCAGGTGTATGATGCTCTGGTTAATTACTTGAGACAGAATATTGAATTTGAAAGGCCATTAACTTTGATTTTCTCTCTTTCTATTTTGACATAGTGTTTTTCACAGCATGTAGTTATACTTTAGGCTTGATCAGGTAAAATTTCCTAAATAAGTAAAACTTTTAAAATGTTTGAAACTGGATAGAAACACAGCAGTTGAAACACGGAGCCTAGAATAAGACACACCTCAACTAACATTTGCCCTGATAATCAACATCTTAGAATTGTTTTGTGGTGAGCAGGTAACACTGATCCTCTTACACTTTTAGTACTACATGTAAAATCATGATATTTAAGAGATGACACAAAATATTCCTTCCTTCCCAAAGCTTAAGACACCACAGGCCAGTGGAAAGCTAAAGCTTTCTTTTAAAATTAAGCTTCCAAAATTCTGTTTCTAAAAATGTAAAGTTATTTAATCATTAAGTTTAAAAGGTCTTTGAAGAGTATTTAGTCCCACTTAAATATTGAGTTAATTAAATATCTTAAAATATTTAAAAATACTTTCACTAACTCAATTCCATTTTAGGTATTTTAGTTTTCTGAGTTAATAACAACATTTCCTGAGTACTAAATACTGCTATAAATTTTGGTAAAATAACCTTACAAGTAAGAAAATCATTAAGCCTCTTCACATATTTCAATATGTTGAGAATAAACACTAAGATTTAAGGTT